GCGGGAACAACTTTCAAGCGGGTTTCCGCGGGTGCGTTTGGTATATCACGCTGCCCCCTCCGTGGAGAACAGTCACGGGATTTGTAGCAGTTTCTCTCTGTGCTCCAAAGCAGTTCTCGGTGTCTCACATATTTGCTTCCCCGCTTCTTCTTCTGTGGTTTCCTGAGCGTGTGTCTGTTTCCGCCGCTTCTTCTTCTGCGGTTTGGGCCCACTTCTCGCGGGGTCTCAGCTGGTGCGAGCGCCGCCTGTGGTTGGGGCGTGGGGCTGGTGCTTTGAGGCAGAGGACAGAGCGCGGAGGAAAGGCGCCGACAGACCTGGATAAGGGAGAGGGAAAAGAGACAACAGTAGTCTGCTTCATTTTTTAAAAACCCAACGCCTTGTTTGGGTGCACACTTATTGTTAGTAGGGGTAGGGTGGGGGTGTGTGTGTGTGTGTGTCCGCCTGTGTTCTCCGCTTCGGTGAAAGGCGGAGGAGCTATTGTTTTTACATATTTCTTTCTCTACCCTCTTTTGCCGTGATATTCTTAAAACCAAGTATATTTTTTCTTCCCTTCTTCTTCTAAATTATCACGCAAGATGCGTAATGGCCTGCACCATAGGCAAACACTTCACAGCTTGCATCTGTAGATTGATTTTACCCATTTTCTCGTACGAACAATGGGCCTAACCCGCTTAGTCTCTCCCTGCTCCTACCCACTTTGGGGCGCTTCATTCCCCCCTCGCTGGTTCAACCAGCGAGCGCGCGTTCTTGAAATGGAGCGGTTCTGGCTGAAGACACTTAGAGAAATTTTCAGGGTCGCCTACAGGACGATACTAACGCGCAGCCGCTAGTTTTCAATCTAGAACAAAAAGCTCCCCAAAAAATCCCGCACACAGACTATGCTGTGGCAATGAATGAAATACCCCAAAAATACATAAATAAACAAATCCCCGTGTACACTTAAGTGCTGCCCTGGGCTCGTTACGCAGATGAAAAGACAAGACTCACCAGATTAGGTTCTTTTTGGTCTTGTGTGGCAAAAGGATTCCTTCCGTGCGTGGACGAGCGCGCTCTCCCTTGTCTCCAAAAAGGAACAGAGGCTGGTGATCCAGGTCGGCCAAACAAAGCCGCTCGTCCCGCCGCAAGTATCCCATGCCAAGACATGTCAGCAACGCCAAATTGTTATAGAATTATATACCCCATGAAGGAGAAAACTCAAAGGTCCTTTGTCTGATCAAAAGCGTAAGTTTATTGTTAACGCACAGTGCGGAGGGCCAGCACATCCACTCAAAAGCAGCATGTCCCAGCTCTGAAGCAGAGCTCCGAGTTTCCTGTATACAGACACACACGAAAGACAGTCCCGCCCACAACAGAATGGGAGGGGGGCCACCGGTGAGGAGGCGCCTGGGGATGTAGGTGCGAACAGACAGACAATGGTAGAAAATGCAGGTCATACAGATGCAGACGCGAAAGACACAAGGGTGTGACGAGAAGCAGGATGTAGAAAATGCACACATACAGACCGATAGATATGCAAGAGGCAAAAGGGGGGCGAGAGTGAGACAGTGATTTACGCCATTGTCTGTAGGTGTCGGGGGACCCGGTTCCTTCCTGAAGCAGGGACATATGAATAGAACCAGGCAGAGTTGCTCCTTCCTGGAGCAGGGAGATATGAATACTAGTCGCTTGCCATCACAATATACACATACATACTCATATACTGTACATTTACACATACACATACATACACACATACACACCAAGGCAAGCAGCGAACATCACTTCCGCGCTCCTTATAGGCAAAGTGGGTTAAGTGTCTTGCCCAAGGACACAACGACAGCAGTCTGTGGAGAGGGTCTTGTGGTGGGCTCGAACCCACGACCTTCAGGCTTAAAGGCCAATGCTCTACCAACTACTGTCAAAATAGGACCCAAAATATAAGATTTAATGCACAAAAACCAGGGTTACAGAACTCCAAACTCAAGCCAAGACGTAAAACAGGGACAAGCACAGTGGTCGCCATAGTAACAGCGCCCAGAATTTTTACAATTTGTACATATTAGAGTGGTAGGGGAAACCTACGCCGACACAGGGAGAACATGCAAACTCCACTCAGTAAGACCCTGTTCCGACCGGGATTCAAACCTTCTTGCTGAGAATGCTAACCACTCAGCCATCGTCCTAAACTCCTGTCACATCCTCATTACAGGCCCGTTTTTTCACCACACAATCTTTAGTAACTTTCGCTCGGGTCAGTTTTTGTTAATTGGGGTCAAAGCAGAATCCAATATCATTTAAAACGGGTTCATTCATGCGTCTATTTCAGTTTCAGTGAAGGCGATGTCGGTCGAGCTAATCCTGTGCTGCTAATATACTGTGAACTGTCAGATTTAAGCTTTTTCACTTGGAGCTCGACTTTGGAAAAACCAATGTAGCGGATTATGACAAAGAGAATTGGCACATTCTGTTGGACATTTTGTGATGTTTGGGGCCAATGAAGAACGGCCATGTTTTTGGGGTCCTCACCTCTCGTTAAACTAGTCTCTTTTTGGATTTGGAGCCGCTATCAAAGGAGGAAGTTAGAGTTTGCTTCATCGTTTCAAGAGAGAATCTGTTGAGGAAAATACATGAAAGTCTGTAGTTGGGATTAGAACTATTTTGAGTTGGTGTTTGGTGTCAATTTGGTGTTAAATATGCAAAAACACAGAATATTTCTAGAACCAGACAGAGATTTTTGTCAAGATTGAAATTCTCCCACTGGGTTTTCAGAATTTTTTGTTGCTGATGCAGAAGGTTCTAAGGACTCTCTACATTCAACCAAATTTATGGATTTTATTAACATTTATAGACATTGGTCTCTGTCCCTTATGGACCAATGCCTCTATGTATTTTTTTAGCTTTGAATTTCTTGTGTCTTTGCGGTTTGATTCTCTAATTTGTGTTAACGAATTGCTGAAAACAACTGTTGTGATTTAAGGCTATAGAAAAATACACTGAATTGAGTTGGAGAAAATATAATCAAAATATAATGAACAAGTTAGTAGTTATATGAACCGGACTGGGACTTTGAGGAGCACAGGGACTGGCCTCCTGGGACTCTGAGGAGCACGGGGACTGGCCTCCTGCTGGGACTCTGAGGAGCACGGGGACTGGCCTCCTGCTGGGACTCTGAGGAGCACAGGGACTGGTCTCAGAGTCAGCACTAAACATGGAGAGGCAGCGTTTCAGATTCATGCACCTATAATCTGGAACAATCATCCTGAAAATGTGAGACAGGCTTCTTCTCTGACAATGTTCAAATCCAGGTTAAAAACAGTTGTGTTTCTGCAACAACTGAAGGACTTTCTTTTTACTCTTTTGAATCTACTGTGAATATTTCTGATTTTAAAGCCTTGTGTGACTGTTTCTATCTGGTTTACAGTACTTCAGCACTTTGAGGTGCCTTATGTATGAACTGTGCTATACCAATAAACTTGATATGACAGAACAACATGATCTGATTGAATTACAAAACCATCTTTCTGTTTCACACGTGCTCGGCAGATGGAGACAAAAGTGTCCCACGCGCCACCAAGACACGAAGTGAAACCTCAAAGTCACATTTAATACTGATTGAAGGTCCCAGGACACAGACCCCCCCTCACAGACTGAGGCAGACGGGGGCCGGACCAGGTGGGCCGTGTGGACATCTGGACCAGCTGCTCCAAGTGCCACTGGGAAATGGGAAATGTGCAAAAGAACGTTCACTTCCTGTCATTTCGCCGAGGTACTTACCGAGCGTTAAAGGGGAGGTCACCTGATGTTTTACTCACTTAAAGCTGCGGTACCTAACCTATTGTTTTGTTCCAATGAATAGCATTTGTTGCAGGTTCCAACAGAAGAGGTCTTGCAAACCTAAAAAAAAAATCATAATTTGCTACCTTCATCTTATTGCAAAAAATGCTATAATTTGTATTTTTATAAGAATAGAGCTTCGTGAGTAACTATTGATTATTTGAGAGCTGAGAGCTGATTGGCCGAGTGAGGGAGGGAGGTTCTCTCTCTTTCTCTCTTTCTGATCTAAAGTGCAAATTTCTCCATTGTGCGACCAATAAAGTTTATCTCTATCTGATCTTATTTTAAAGATGTGACAGAAAACAAATGTAGAACCGTCACTAAATGTTGAGAGCAAGGACCTCGGTCAGGCATGTCCAAACTCAGGCCTGGGGACCAATTGTGGTCCTCAGTGTCATTTAATGTGGCCCTCTGCCTTGCAAACCCACAGTACCTAATTATGTCATCTATCCAACTATAGCTCTGCCAATATAGACATATCGTTACTCATTCTAAAGCTCAGTACGTCTGGGATTCAGTTGTTACTTTATTAATTTATACTGAACTGAGGTGGTTTTTTTTATTGTGTCACTTCTGTTAACGATTCTACTGTAGCTGGTGAGATGTAAACATGTGTCATTCAGCCAACTTCAGCTCCGTTATAGATCATCATAAACCTCAGAACAGCCCGAGTAAGTCAAGACAGTTTTTCAGTCGGTGAGGTCGGCCCCTGGACTAGTCTAGGGAAGTAAAGTGGGCCTCTTACTAAAAGATTTGGACACCCGTGACGTAGGTAGTTATATACAGTAAATGTAGTAGTTAATTGTTCACGTTGTTTTTAAAGTTAGATTCTGGAGCCTGACCTTGTGTAAGAAGGACCAGGATGAGCACTTCCCTCAGAGAGAGACCAGAGAGAGACCAGAGAGGGACCAGAGAGGGACCAGAGAGGGACCAGAGAGAGACCAGAGAGAGACCAGAGAGAGACCAGAGAGGGACCAGAGAGAGACCAGAGAGAGAACAGAGAGAGAGACTAGAGACTATAGAGAGAGCAGAGAGAGACCAGAGACCAGTGGATTAGATTGGATCCAGTGAAGCAGCGACAGAGCTATAGACGTCTCTGTTTAGTTTTTGCGTTAACATTGTAAACACACTAGATCCTGACGGTGTATGTGAAAGCCGCGGTGTTGAAACGGAGCGGTCCGTGATGGATGTGGCCGCTCCGGGACGCCTCCTGTCAGCCCGCCTCTTCCACTGAGTGTGTTTGGGCGCGGACAGCTGTGGACAGATGGATTCCAGATGTGGAGGCATTTGTCTTCAGGTACGGCCCTCTCTGACAGCTGATCCCACCACCGCCTGCTCTCACTCATCTAGCCACTAAACTGTCCGACCACACACGCAAACTGGACGCAAAGGTTATGTGCACGAAGGAAGTACCATGGAAAGAAGAGGAATGTTGAAATCTGCCACTCCCAAAAACTCTGGTGCTTAAGTTTGTATCCACGAAACAAATGGACTGTGGAATAAAAGTCATTTCACTGGTTTCTGTTTGGGTCTAGGGCTGGTTTTGAGACGTGTGTACGTTTCTGTCATGTTTTTAGATCAGCTTTTTCAGATAAAATACATGAAAAAGGAGTGGGTAATCCTTATTCAGCCAATTAGTGAGAGTGAAAAAGTGACTCAGATAGATCTTACTGTACAAATAAGATTGACATATATGTTTTTACAAGATTTGTCTGTGAAGATAAAGGGTATAATTATTCTGGACTATAGGGAGTAGTGTGAGAGAAGGGAGACTAGAGAGAGTAGAGGGAAAAAATAGAGAGAGCAGAGAGACCAGAGAGAGACCAGGGAGAGAGCAGAGAGAGACCAGAGAGAGACCAGGGAGAGACCAGGGAGAGTAGAGAGAGACCTGAGAGAGACCAGAGAGAGACCAGAGAGACTGGAGAGAGAGCAGAGAGAGACTGGGGAGAGGCCAGAGAGAGAGCAGAGAAAGACCAGAGAGAGACCGGGAAGAGACCAGAGAGAAAGAGCAGAAAGAGAGCAGGGAGAGGGAGACCAGAGAGACCAGAGAGGGAGCAGAGAGGAAACAGAAAGAGACCAGAGAGAGACTAGAGAGAGACCAGAGAGAGTCCAGAGAAAGAACAGAGAGAGACCGGAGAGAGACCAGAGAGCACATTTTTTCCACAGGTTTAGATAAAAGTGTTTCCTGCATTTTAAATTTCACACACAGCGTCAGAGCTGGAGCCATAACTCTACTTTAGCACCTCCAGTATTTCTCTTCACCGCAGCATGTGACGGACAGCTCTCTGTGGAATCACACTTATTCTCACATAAAGACACTTACTTTGAATGAGTTTAAGAATGTTAAGAATTATTTAGAATTCTTAACATTATTCACATGAACTGAAGGAGCTAGAAAGTGTTTAAAATGTTATGTTTATATAAATGAGAACAGAGAGATAGAAGAGAGAGAGAGCAGAGAGGGAGAGCAGAGAGAGAAAAGAGAGACGAGAGAGAGAGAGCAGAGAGAGACCAGAGAGAGCAGAGAGAGACCAGAGAGAGAGCAGAGAGAGACCAGAGAGAGAGCAGAGAGAGACCAGAGAGAGACCGCAGAAAGAGAGACCAGAGAGAGAGAGAGAGCAGAGAGAGACCAGAGAGAGCAGAGAGAGAGAGAGAGAGAGAGAGAGAGAGAGAGAGACCAAAGAGAGCAGAGAGAGACCAGAGAAAGCAGGATAGAAAAACTAAGAAATGAACTTGAAGGAGCAATGTTGTAGGAGAATATACCGGACTAAAACAGATTTCTCTAAACCTAACTGCGAGTGATGAGGTGTGAGCGTTGTGTGTGTGATTGATGCGGGACATGGAGGCGATGCCGCAGATTGGCAGCCTTGCTATTGTTAGTCTGCCCCAGGGCAACAGTGGCTTCTGCAGTAGAGTGTATGGAGGGGATCATGTGAAGAGGCCGTTTCCTAAAAGTGCAAGTATGATTTATTATTATTATTATTGCAGCAAAATTAAGGTAACTTCGTATTTTACCAACAAAACATTAATCAGTGTTTAACTAATAATTTCAAATTTAGAGAGAGGCCCAAGAGCGAAGTCTAAAGTCTGAGGTAATTATGGTCTTAATCTGGTGAAAGTTTGGCTCAAAGATGTTGCATCCGATTGAGATGATTGCTTTTTAATCTTACAATCTTCAGATTTCATAGACGCGTTTTTAATCTAAAGATCGAGTCAAATCACTCCCAGAGGAACATGGAGCTGTCAGTGTGTAGAACGAGGTCAAAGCAGATTCAGATCCATCTGTAACAAAACAAAAGATATGTGTGATCCATTTTAAAATAGTTTGTAATCTTCCTTGGACCAAAGAGAGACCAGAAAGAGCAGAGAGGGACCTGGAAAAGAGCAAAGAGAGAGACCAGAAAGAGAGAGAGACCGAGAGAGGGAGAGGGGAGAGAACAGAGAGAGACCAGAGAGAGACTAGAGAGAGAGACCAGAGAGACCAGGGAGACCAGAGAGACCAGAGAGAGACCAGAGAGAGACCAGAGCGAGACCAGAGAGACCAGGGAGAGACTAGAGAGAGACCAGAGAGACCAGGGAGAGACACATCATCACAGTCCATATGTCAGACACTAACTGTCCAACAGACTCCTGAGTCAGAGGAAACTAGGTTTTAGGAAAAACTCTAAAACCCAGTGGGAGAAAAGTGCATTTTTGGGTAATATTTGAACTTTCTGTTATAGTTTACAGTATGTCCTGTGTGTACGTCCCGCAGTCGCAGATGCCTCCAGGCCTACAGTATTCCAGCCTCTTCCAACCTCTTCCAGCTGATGGAGCCGATAACTAATTGCTCAATCAAAGAATCTAATCTGACCAATCTCACTCTCAGTCCTCTCCTTCCGCCGCCCCCGTCTCCACCACAATCTGTCCAACAGCTGCCCCAAAACCGAAAAAAAGAATCCTTGTAAAAACAGTAGTGAGCGGCAGCAGAGAGAGAGCATATAATAATTGGGAAAGGCATAACGCAAACCAGACCAGAGTGACACAAATCTGGTGTTTGGGGATAATTTGAGACTTAATTCTGCAGCGAGAGACGTGTGAACGCAGAGGAACACATCTGGCTTCTGTAGATGTCCAAGAAAGATATTATTTAAGTGACATTTGGGGAACACGTGGACGGTTCTACAGGCCACGGAATCACATGCGACTGTGCTATTGTGTCCTTTTAGTCTGCAGGGTTTGAGCCGACTGCTTTGTTACCATGGAGACTTGTGTATGTATTACATTACATTTTAAATTCAGTAACGTATGTAAATGTCGACCAAACTCATCCTCGTTCTACAGCCTGAGTCCTGTATCGATTAATAGCAAATCCCTTTCTCAATATGGCCAAGATTTGTCACTTTTTTCCCCACTATTTTTTGAGTTGAGGGTCTAGGGACAGTGATGATCCCAGACATGTATCACCATTTATGTACATTGCTCGTCCCGCTCTCAGGTGAACCAACGGGTCCTTTGTGTTTGAAATGATTTAATCTGTTGTTGGTGAATCGACATCTTTGAAAAGTTTGCAAAGACGACTGCTGTTGTGATTAAGGGCAGCACAGAATACATTGAATTGAACTAAAACTCCTAATAACTAGTGCTGTTAAACTATTAAAATATTTAGTCTTGATTGACTGATGCATGACTGTCATAGTTTGAATCTATTCTAAAAGTCCCTTGATTGAGTCTGTGACTTCCAGGAGGTTCTTTATAAATCCAGACTTTTAAACAAAGCTCTTAGGATTGTCAATGACTCTTCTGGCCACCCTGGGAAAGCCATGTTCCAGCTTCTTCCCTCTGGCAGAAGATATTGCTCTCTGAGATGCAGGACATCTCGTTACGCTAACAGTTTTTATCCACAAGCTGTTATCGGTGTGAACAGAGCACTTTAATGATTTGCACTTGTTTTGAACTGTTTTAGTCGATCGATTTCACAGTGACTTTTGTTTACTGTTTTATTTGTTTTATTTTTGTCTTTTAATGTTGTTTTATGTCTGTATTTGTCTGTGCACACTGGTGACTTTTGCTAATGTATTCCATTGTGGGTTTTTTTTACTGCAAATGGCAAATAAACTGAATCTGAATCTGATATAATCCAGTAATCAGCAGTGAGCACGACTGCTTTTGTTTTCTCCATCGCCTTCACACGTCATTATTCATTCATTCACTCCATACACAATGACACTACTGTAGCCCCAGCTGCCCTGAGGCACACTGACAGAAGCGAGGCAACCAGTCTGTGCCATCAGCCCTTCCCACCACCACCAACCATTCACACACACACCAGACTCATTCTAATGTGGGGGAAGTGTCTTGCCTAAGGACACAACGTCAGTTTGGCACTTTACAGAAGCAGCCGCCCCACTGTGGCACCTGCTGTTCCCAGAGGTCTCCCATTACAGCACTAACCACGCCCTGCCCTGCTTAGCTTGAGAGGTCTGGCAGGATCTCGCTTTCACCCTCAAGTATGTACTGTAGTTTATATGTAAAGATGTTTTTAGATTAATTGTAAATACCATAGTCTTCTTCATTGTTATTAAAGATAAAATAAGAACTTTACTGATTTCATGAATGCACGGTCTTCTACCGATGCAGCTGCCTAAAAATTCGTCTGAACGTTTGTCTCTGGAGCCGCTGTCAAACTTTACTTTAGCATCGTTCCAAACACTAAAGATGTGGTAGAAATGGTATTCCCAGAAGAACAACACTGTACTTTTTTTTTTTTTTAACATACTTTTTACTGCTTCCCGACTAAATTATATGGCAGCTCACTTAGACTCTTCAAAGCACTCGCACTTTTACGACACAGTTTAAAATTGTGTAAAAAGAAAAAAAATCCCTACTCATTAAAAGAGCAAAACAAAAGCAGATGCCTGAGAAAAGAACGGAGAAAATACGACTTTACATTGTGTGGGACTGAGCCAAGATTGCACCATGTTTGACTCCAAAGAGCAGATTTAGGGCATTCGGGAACGTGAGCTGGGATACTGACTGAAACTTTATGAAATAGTTACAAGATAGACTCTTTAAAGTAGCAAAATGTAAGAATGTCATGTCAAGTCATCATTAAAAGGCTCTAATCTGTCATTACAATAAACCGCTCTTTTCCAATACTTCTACTGCATCGAGCTAATCTCACTGGTAAAGTACCATGTGGCGCAGAACTAAAAAAGGTCTTGTTATGATTCTCAAATCATTAACGACAAAACAAGGAATAAAACCAGGGAATCTATTTTTGTGAAAAAGTTGTTGGTTATAGATTTGTTGTTGACAAAACTCTAGTCTATTCAGCTGTTCTACGTCATAGCTGTCATAGTGCTACGCCTCTTTCCGCCGCCTCATGCTTTGCCATAGGATTCAGGGCGGCACCTCCTGTGTCCAGGATGATCAGGATGTTGAGGTGCTATCTGGACATGACGTCTTCTTTCAGGCGTTTGGAGCAGTTATTTTTGTGCAATGGTCCCAAGAACAGAGGCTCCACACTCTCATCCCAACGTTTTGAACGCAGTGGATAATTAATTATACGGTTGAGACATGTAGATGCTCTTGCTAGAAGCGGCCTCTCGTCTTTGGTCAGAGGCGTCCTTGGGGTTTCCCCGGGGCTACCTTCTTCCGGCGTACTACGGGCGTCCTTGTTAGGAGCGGCCCGAGTACTCTTCTTTCTTTCTGCTGCCCTGAGTCGGTTCACCTGGGGGGTGTTCTGGGACTCGGGCAGGGCTCCAATCCTTACGCTGGCCTTATGGGAGTACATTGTCCCTACAGCCTAAGCGTAGTTTACCCACAGCGTAGCCCTAATGGGCGTAGCCCTATGACGTAGAAACATTAGTTACCTACTGTATGTAACTGTAGTTCTACGAATAGATGCGTAGCTCCTTAGCTGGATTTTTGGTCTGGAAAAGCTGATTTGAAGATGTGACAGACTTGGTTCTACGGGGATAGAACCAAACTGTTCTGTGATCGAGATACTGTTTGTATTTGAATGTATGCGTTTTGAAAGTCAGGCACCCCAGCCTTATGGTGTCATCCAAAAGCAAGCTGTTCTTTTACACAGACGTTTTCGAAAATCTTCCAGTTTTGAGTTGAACTGTTTCACTTCTCACTGCTCTTGTGGGAAAACAACCAAACTGGCTCCAACTTTTGATTGTCCGCCTTTGAGAGAATAATGCTCGACCTTTCTGTGGATATTTTCTGCAAAGTTGAACATTTTTCACTGGGCCGTGTCCAAATCGCTGCTGGGTTTCACAGAGCACCTCTTCCCCTTGTCAAAACGCACAACTCTGCAGCTCTGAACACACACAAACACACACCAGGGAAATGTGTGCGAGCAGAAGACTGACACCTCTGTCTGTTCCAGGGCTCACGGAGGACTGCGAGTTGGAGATAGCGTTTTCAGGTAGAGAGCTGCTTAAACGGAGGATTAGCATGTCAAGGCTAATGCTATATGTCAAGGCTAATGCTATGAGTGATATGACAGGATTAAAGAGGCTATAAAATAATATGGGACAGACAATAGAATATTGTAATACTGTTAAGACCACAGGCAAAGACCGAGAATATATGTGTATATACTGTATGTATGTGTGTGTGTGTGTGTGTACAGTATGTACAGTATACATGTATGTGTGTATGTACTGAGGTTGAAGGGTATAAAATGGATGCATGATTATTATTATTTTTGTTATAGTTCTTTTTGGAAACTCAAAGACACTTCATATTTTTCAATCCCTCCAAACACGGTGGTGATAAACTCCAGTAGCCACAGCTGCCCTGGGGCACACTGACAAAAGCGAGGCAACCCGTACTTGCCATCGGCCTCTCTCCAAACACCAACAACCATTCACACACACACTAGACTCATTCTCGGCAACATGCGTGAAGTGTTTGCCTAAGGACACAGCGACGGCCACCACCACACAAGTTCTAGGAATTCTAGGGTCAAATATAATCTCGACAATGTTTTGAATGTGACATAAGTATAAAACAAACGCAAACCAGTGTTGACCCGCCCGGTGTCACCACGGCGGGCAAAACAAATGTGTCACTACTTCAAATATTGGTGGAAGACAGAAAGATATATCTGAAACCAATAGAATATTTAACTTCGACTGGGACCAGATTGGGGCGATATATTTTTGTGCTGTATGAACGCTGCCATACATTTTTAACGTGTCTACTGACCTCCATTGGGGCAAAAAAACACAAAAAAAAAAAAAATTGCCGGGTCATTTTTGCGGGTTATTTTCACAGAATTGTTTTGTACTATTTGTATCTTTCCTTTTCTCATATTGATACTAAAATACTAAGAAAATTTATTGCAGAAACAGAGCTTTTCTTAAGACTTTTCAAATGCAGTTCCGTTGGGCAAAAGTTGGTCAACGTCCCAAGCTAAAATATCCAAGAAAGTCAGTCACACGGAACACTGACTTTACTCTTAAGAGGGTCTGGTATCAGATCTGTCACCTGTTCTTTAAAGCCGCTCTGGGGAAAGGCTCGAGTCCCCAGGTCCCGAGGGAGAATCCGCCGTCCATTAAGTGGCTATTAATTACCTCCCTTGTCTTAAGTGTCTCTGTAAAGTCCATATGGGCCGTGGACGTATCACTTTATCACCAAAAGCAACTCTGTCTCTGGAGAGTTGGAGGCGGTCGTACGTTTAATGCAGATCATGACAGATGTGGCCGATGCTGACGGCAAGACATGAAGTTATCGAGAAGCGCTAAGAGGCTATTTTGTTTAGACTGATGCATCTGCAATTAGTGAAGGAAGACAACACATCTATTTATATACACTTTGGGGTTAGCTCCCTTTTTTAATGGGTACAACATAAACATTTACAACTCTCTCTATATATATATTCTCACTCCAGACTCGACTACTGAAACAGCCTCCTTCATGGTCTCCCTTCCGCACATCTCCATAAACTACA